CCTCCTCCCAAGCTAACTTTCCACTATATACTCAAGAGCCTTCTGGGACCTCAAGGCCACATGTTTCAGTACTGGCTGGGAGGGACAGAAGGGAGTGGCTGGAATCCCAGCTGAGGGTCCATTGGCTCTCCCCACTGCCTCCTCTCTGAAGAAACATCATCAGCAGGCCTGCTGGTGATGGTGTCTCACAAGCTGCTTTGCTTGGAGGACCAAGTTCTACAATAACGGTATGCACCACCACGCCCAGACACATTTCTTTCAGTTGGGCCAGTTTGTCCAAAACACTTGTACTTGTTAGTCATCCTCCACTTGAGACACAAGCAATAACAAACAGAGCACATGGATTCACCTGCTAACTAAAGAAGCAAGACAGCCAGGCTGGAGACTTTCCCCTCCTGTGCTGCCTTAAAGGGTGATGGCCAGGAATAAGGTCCTCTGGGTCTCTTTTGCACCCGCCTGCGGAAACTTGGCAAATAAAACGTGTATTCTGGGTATTCGGTGGCTCTTACTCATGGAAACCCTGGCTCCACATGAACCTTCTTTCCAAAGGCAGATGGAATTCCCATTCAGAAAAATTCTGGCACCAATTTCTTCAGAACAATTGCAAGTTACAGGCAGGACCTGGAAAGGCTCTGAGAGATTGGTGGCTGGCATTGCCACTACCTAATCAAGGAGAGGCATTCCTGGTGATTTGTCTCTGCTCACCAGGACCTAATGGCCCTACTTCTTAGGCATCTTATAGGGGGCAATAAATTCTTCTAAAGCAAGGCTGCTTTGAAGAGAACTGTCTTATTAAAATGAAAGAAGGAAAGCCAAGCAAAGTGGATCATGCCTCTTTAATCCTGGCACTTGGGAGGTAGAGGCAGGAAGTCAGGAGTTCAAGGTTGTCCTTTGGCCACATAGTGAGTTGGAGCCCAGCCTGGGCCACATGAGACCAGTCTCAAAAAAAATATAAAATAAACAAAATGGAAGCAAGGAGAATAAAGTATACAGCAAATTGTGAGTTGGTCATATGCAAATATTATGCTATTTTATATAAAGGACTTAAGCGTTCACAGGGGTTGGTACCTATGGGGAGCCCAGAATGAGCTCCCAAGGACTTGGAGGGATGACTTTGTATGAGAAGAATACCAACACTCTTTGAAGAATCTAAGGACAGATTTTGCGGCTGGATCTCAGAAAGATTCTAAGAGAATAGAATCAAGAGTTGGGGTCTTCTGCCTTCTTCATCCTCCCCCCTGGGCTCATGGGCTTTAAGTTTCTCTCTTCTTCAGTTGGGTGGTTTCTCCAGCCTCAAATCCAAGAAAGAATGAGATGGGTTCCAGCTTCACTGAGCTATCTCCATCCTTGGCTTAATCAAGTGAGGAGGTCACCAGTGCCGATACAACCAGGTTTCACTGAACTGTGGTTTTACAGGCATCTATCAGCCATGTCCATGTGGACACTCTGGCCTGGACTGAAGGTGGCTGCAGGAATACACATCATGTATAGTCTAATGTGATTTATGTTCTAGTAGAAAAAACAGTTGTCAAAGAGCCACCAGATATGTTTTCTCTTACTTTACCAATTTTTGTTCCAAGTTATATTCATAATAATCTATTGAAAATGAAGAGAGATGCTATGGTGGTTTGAATGAGAATGTCCCCCATAGGCTCCAAGTATTTAAACACTTGGTCTCCCTTTGGTGGCACTGTTTGGAGAGAGTCATGGAACCTTTAGGAGGTGTGGCTATGCTGAAAGGAACACGCCACTGGGGGTGGGCTTTGAAAGTAGATAACCATGTTCCCTTTCCAGTCTGTTACTCTCTGCTTCCTGTGCCTGCTTATAGATGTGAGCACTCAGCAAAAAGCTATTGCAGCCTGTGCCATAATGCCTCCCTGTCATGATGGACTCATTCCTTTGGGGAAATAAACTCTTCCTTCTATAAATTACCTTGGTCATAGTGTTTTGTCACAGCAATAGAAAAGTAACTAGCAGAAGTTGTGTGTGGTGGAGCAGGCCTAGAATCCTAGCCCGTAGGAGATGGAGGCAGCAGAATTAGGAATTAAAGGTTAGCTTCAGCTACATTGTGAGTTGGAGGCGATCTGGACTATGTGGGTTTCTATATCAGAAAACTAAGACTATAAAAAAAAGTCCCTGTGTTTTTCCCTGCCCCCTGCTGCCCATGCAGAAGCTGTATATGGCTGTAGTATGCCTGTATTTTTAAAATATATGTAAAGATCCATAAATAATATATGCTATTGTTTTACATTTTAAAAATACGCACAAATAGCATTCTGCATGCACATTTTATTTTGCAAATTGCCTTTTCTACTTTACATAATGTTTTTGAAATTTTGTGATATTACCACCTGTAAATGTTACTCATTGTTTTACTGCCACACAGCATTCTGCTGTTTGTGGGAACCCCAATTTATCCATTTTCCTGCTGAAAAGTGCCAATCAGTGGCCCTTGCCATCCACTGATGCTTCAGTGAGCAGTCTCACACAGCTCTCCTCAGGCACCCATTTCCAGAGGACAGCCAGCTAGATGTGAAATGGCTATGTAGCCACTTGGTAAGCACTCTGGAGCCTCTTCTCCATCCATGAAACGAGACCACATTCCATGGCACAGTGAGTCCTCATACAGAAAGTAGGAGGATTCAGAATGTTAAATAATTATCCCAGAAAGTGCTTCCAACAGTGTAAAAGAAAACAGACAAAGCAGCAGCCCTCCAGATGTCCCTAGTGGATACAGTGCTTAGCCAATGTTATAACAGGAACTGAGGAGTTTTAGAAAGTTCCTTCCTCTAAGCATGGCAGACCTGGGCAGCTCTGTTCTCTCCAGCTCTGTCCTCTCCTTGCTCCAGGCCCCTTATCTCACAATGACAACCTAGACAAGGATTCTTTCTAACAGTCCCCCAGTCACTGACCTTTCCTCATTCCCATCTAAGCTCTGTGTCTGGACCTGCCCGTATCTGTCTCTACAGCCTGCCCAGCACCTCTGCTGCCAGCTTGGGAACTGTTTGCCACACTGGTTTGAAGCTGGGGGCGAGGCACTTATATTTGAGGCATGTAAACTTTTCTTTTTGTGATAGTTTCATTTAATAATGGAATTGTTTAGCTGCAAAACAGTTCTGGTAAGAATGTCACAAAATCGAGACCCTCTATGAGAAAACATAGCCCTTTATCTTACTTACAGTTTGGGCCATCAACAGCGTCTTTGTAAATTCAATCTTGTAAAAGATCTGAGGCAGGAGACAGACTTATCTGGGGAGATTACCCACATTTCACAGCCACACAGAGGCTGCATATGTTGCTGGGTGAATCTGGCCCTCTGCAGCTCCTCACCCTGCCTGGATATGCTTCACCCAGTCCACAGTTCAGCTTTTATTTCTTCTAGCGATTGAATACTGTGCTGTACAGTGAGTGACATTGTGGGGCATCTGGAAACAGCTCCCAGCTCTTTGCTTGGGTTCAGCCATCTCCAGAAAGCTGAAAAGGGGTTGCCATAGATACCCAGGGAGCAAAATAAGGCATGCTGGGGTGGGGGCTCTCCACAGATTCTGTAAGTCTCTGCTTAGAGGCCCAGAAGTTGAAGAGTAGCTGGAAGTCCTAACTTGATGATGTCTAGTTACCTACTTTCTGTGAGTCTCTGTCCCCTTGTCTGTACAATAGGGACAGCACCTCTCTCATGGATTCTTGGTGAGCCTAGTGCCTAATGTAAACGATGCCCCAGATAAGCTTCTTCCCAGCTGGTACCTCAATGGACTCAGGTGTGTGGACAAGACATAGTGGCCACAATCCCAAGCATTTGTTCTCAATGTGTTTGCTTTGGAAATCATTCATCTCTTACTCCAAAGTCACCTCAGACACCTCCAAGCCATTGCAGTAGAGGTGCAGAGGTGTTAAGGAAGCTCTAGAGGTACGTTCCTGGGTTCAAACCCCCATCTAACCCCTTACTAGCTTGGGATTTTAGGCAAGGGTCCACATTTGAGACAAAGCTTAGCAACACCAACCTCTGAAGGCTGTTGATTATTCAGTGAGTTAATTAGCGCATGTGCAGCAATGATCTGATGTATTGTTACATTGTCAGCGATCAGTACAATGATCAGCCCCTTCAGTTCACCCCATTCAGTTGTGTAGGGCTGAGGCCCTGGTGACACAAAGGAGCTCCTGGTTCCTTCATGGAAAGGGACTAGTGAATAGGCTCAATGGTGCGGAAGCACAGGGTCAACTGAAAAGAGAGATAGGAAAGAAAAAGGTCAGGAGATTCCTTGAGAGAGAGGGAGAGAGAGAGAGGAGTCAGGGAAGTCAAGCTGGAGGAGCCAGGACTAAACAGAATAATCAAGAAAGTGGTTTTTCGAAAACACTCATTTCTTTTTTAAAGAAATGCCCCCCTCCTATGTACTGAGAAGACTGCTGTCAATAAACTTCAAATCTTGTTAAGATAGTAGCACATCCCACTGCCACACCCCCTCATCATATGTCATGAATATTCAGTAGCAAGTATAAGCACAACTATAGCCACCATCTTACATTCGGCTACCGCACAGACAGCTCGGTTTGGCAGACTTGGCTGGGTGGGGACCGAGTAGAGCTGGCTGCAGGTGTCAGTCCCAGCCACTCGGCTACGTAGCCCTCTCGGGGCTTGCTGACGTTCTGTTGACTCATTCCCAGAGTACAAGTGGGTTATCGTGGTTGGAGACGGTCTAAGTACGGCCTGTGTTGGCTGAGAGATTAGAATTCCATCCCCCAGGATTGCGCCCCGGGCGCAGGCTGGTGGAGCGACCTAAAGGAGGATGTTGCCAAGTCCCAGAGATGGCCCAGGCCTGGCATGACTCAGATGCAGGGGGCTGCCGGGAAGGGGATGGATCCTTGCGGGGTGGGTCTCTAGGCCCTAAAGGCAGGAGTGAGGCGTGAGGTCGCGGGCTGCGGGGAGGACCAATGGATGGGCGACAGCCCCTCCCGCGGGGCGGGGGCGCGGCGGGAGGGGCGCAAGCTGCGGGCTCTCTCGGGTACCAGTGCTGCGGCATCCCTGCCGAGCATCTGCACCCGCGGCCGGCCCGCCGCGCAAATCCTGCCAGCAGCTCAGTGGCTGCCCCAGCGCCAGGCACGACCAGATCTAGCCCGCAGCGCAGATCTGTCCAGTCGGTGGGTGCGCGATGTGGCGGGCGTGGGGATTGCCCAGTTGGGTCTCCCGTAGGTGGGCGGGAGTTCCACGCATTTGGATGTCCAGGGGTGGAGAATGACCTGGGTTCTGCCCAGCTCGGATGCGGGCGGGGAGAGGCTGGGGCAGGTCTTGGCATTAGAGCTGCGGTCTGACATAGTCCAGGAAGGGATAGGGCTCGAACCTGGCGGCAAGCTGGGGATGATCCTGGTCCCCGGGGCTGCTATTAACGTGAGGGACCCGTGTTCTTCGGCTTGGGAGTGAGGTTTGCACCAACACGGCACGCAGAACTTCCACTAAGTACCAGAATGGGGATGTGGAGCGGATCCAGGCTGGAGTGGGTGTCCGGCGCCACGGTCCCTGCAGGGGCTGCGTCTGGGAGGGGACCGGGTCTCGCCCCGTCTGGGGGCGGGGAGCGAGGCGGGGCGGAGCCAGCGAGAGGGGTGGTCCTCGTGCCTCTGATTGCGTTCCGGGACACACAGGCGGCAACCCGCACCGAGCAGACATGCTGCGGCTCGGGGGCACTCTGCTGTGCCTGCTGCTGGCGGTGGCGGTCCCCACAGCCCCGGCGCCGGCTTCCACCACCACTTCGCCCCGGGTGGAGCCGGGCCCCGCTCTCAGCTACCCGCAGGAGGAGGCTACCCTCAATGAGATGTTCCGCGAGGTGGAGGAACTGATGGAGGACACTCAGCACAAACTGCGCAGCGCAGTGGAGGAGGTGGGTGCGCCCGGAGGGGACCGGGCCCAGGAAGTGGAAGGCTGGGTGGGTAGCGGGCCTGGGGGAGTCGGTGCTGGTTACAGCACTAGCCAGGGGCCTGGTTTCGAACAGCAGTGGGAAGGGCCTGAAGGAGTGACCTGAGGGCAGCACGAGCGATCTTTACCCCCAGCCCCTCCTGCCTGCCTGCTTGCCAAAAGATACTGATCCAAGCCTGTCCATGGAAAGCGTCTTGGCCGGATCCTCCCTGGAGATCTGAGGCCACCACGCCGCGGTTGTCTTCGCCGCGGTTGTCTTCGAGTGTGCTGGCCTGCTTCCCCTGTTGGAACTGTGCTTGCAAGCACCCTGGTGTCCCAGCGCTGTGAGTTTGCAGAGACTTGGCCAGCTGCAGGCAGCTCCAAGTCCTAGCCTGTCTCTTGGGCATTGACCCTGTGCCATCTTTCCCAAGCTATAGTCAGGATGCCAGTGTGGGATGCGAGGGTGGGGCGGGGAGAAAGAGCTGGGAGCTTTGCTGGCAATCTATTTTGCGTCTTTAAATGTGTGGGGCAGAAAGGGAAAATGGGAGCCCTGAATCCCAGTCACATGATTGGTCAGAAGGTAGGGGATAAGAATGTTAGAGGCAACCCCACCTCTCCTCCACCTAGTGCTTTGAAGCTCAGGGTTCAGAGTCTCTGTCACTCTCTAGTAGAGTAAATCATTTAGCATCCTGAACCTCAATTTCCTCTGACAATGAAATGCAATGCCCAAATTGGTGGGCACCTGGTAGATAAGAGGTGTGTGCTTGGTAGTTATCAGCAGACACCAGATCTCATGGAAGACATCCTCTCCTTTCCCTCATCTTCCAGGTGTCAGCATTGTGGATGACATCTGCTCTGTCCCCTAAGCATGAAGCTTGGTCTTTTCTGGTTCACTCATGGGTAGTGGTCCCTGACACCTGAGATGGGTAGGCATGGTCACTTTGGGGTCCAGCTCTGGTGGTAGCCTGGCTTTTGAGAGGAACCAGCTATCTCAGTGAACCATAGTCTCCATCTTGGTAGCCCCCTTGGGCAGAGTCCTAAGCTGGCCCTTGTCTGCTGGGAGAAGTTGCTTGTGTAGTTTGGGTGTATTTTGCTCTCCATTCGTAAGAGCCAGCCTGATGGGACTTGCAGTGAGGGGGATGCTGGATTGGAGGCAGTGGCATGAGCATTCTTATTGAATATCCATTGGCTGGACCCTGGGTCAAAGGCCCGTGGACTTCCTGGGATTTCACATCAGGATGTGAAACCATTAAAGCATGAGAGGGGTCAGCTGGGCCTAACACCTCAGCTGCAGATTATGTGATCTTTAATCATCTGATCTTTCCACTTCAGGGCAGGGTATGGCATCTGCTGTCCTTATCTGGATTGTAGGACTTTCCTCCTGCACGTTGATTCCTAGGAATATTGACCAAGTGGCCTCCATATTTTAGCTCGCTGGGAAATGCCTACTGCCACTCAGAAGGTTTGCAGCAGGGTTCTCTAGTGTCAGCTTCCCACGAGGCCTTGGCCTAGTTAGCCTCTTCATTCATTAGAGCAGTTTGGGATGCTGTGGGACCCCAGTGCAGTGTCTTTCCCATGGGAACCAGCTGCAGTGGGTTTTGTCCTGGCTCCATTCTCACCCCTTCCTGACATGGCTCTGCTTGAGTTATGTGGATTGGCCAAAGGACCAAGCAGACATTGATTAGCACATCAGCCCAAGACTGTGGTCCTTCCCATAGGAGTGCCAGCGAGAGCTGTGGATGCCAGGACCAGATGAGGAGGGCTGAACACTCCCATGGCAGGAGAATAAATAGTGGGGACTCCTCTTTCATCCAGTCCCAGAGCTGCTCTTTACTAGTGGGTGGGACCCAGGGTCTGAAATGGAGAAAATGTTCACCTCCGAGGTAAAGGAGAAGATCCTAGGAAGTAAGTTACTTGTTTGTTAAAAAATGAAATAAGCAGATTTAAGCCAAGGGTCTTCCTCATAAGGCCTTTGTAAGGATTATTGGAGATTGCTGGTTCTCAGGAAACAACAGCTGTGCTTATTCTCGTTTTCACTCTGGTAGCATGGCCAGGCTTGGTGGTAAGCACCTGTAATCCCAGCCCTTGGGAGGCTATGGCAGGAGGATTATGAGTCTGAGGCCAACCTGGGCTACACAGTGAGTTCAAAGCCAGCCTGGGCTATGTAGCAAGATTCTGCATTGCAAAATCAAAAAAGAACAAAGAAAAAGAAATAGTAGTTCAAATAACAGCAGAGCCCTACCAGTAGGTTCTCAGTAGAACGTATCTAGAAAATGTCTTGGACTAGGGCTGTAGCTTAGCAATAGAGCCTAGCATTCATGAGTCCTGGGTTCGATCCCCAGTACTGGGGGAGAAGAGAAGAAAAAAAAATTAAAGTATTAGAATCAACCTTAAAATAGCATTTGATTTTAATAGATTGTGGCTATTAGCTTTTTAAAAACTAAATTTTTAGTTATTGTTATTGTGAAGTGTGTGTGTGTGTCTGTGTCTGTGTGTGTGTGTGGTTGTGCCTGTGCCACATTATGTGTGTGGAGGTCAGAGGATAACTTTGTGGAGCTGATCTCTCCTTCCATCTTTGTGTAGGTTCCAGGGATTGAACTCAGGTCATCAGATTTGGCAGCAAGCACCTTTACTTACTGAGTCATCTCTCTAGCCTCAGCTTTTTTGTTTTTAAAGAAACTTCCAGAAAACCCCTTACATCTCATAAACACAGGACTTTGCTGTTTAGCTGTTGCTCAGAGGAATAAAACACAGGGGACCTGGGCCAGTGCTCTCGTTGTATACATAGTTGTGTGATGAATCTGCTTTCAAGTAATTTCCTGGCATTTTATTTATTCCAGCTGTCCCAAGCTGTTGGTGTCCCTTAAATGACAAAGTAGCTCAATTTCTAGGATTATCATTAGGAAAAGCAGTCTTTAAATAGCTTTAATCTGGGATATCTTGTTTTCTTGTTTTGTTATTCTCTGTGTTATTTTTATATAATTTTTTTATTATTTTTATTTTATGTGTATGAATGTATTACCTGCATGTATGTAAGTATATCTGTGTTGTGCAATGCCCATGGAGGTTAGAAGAGGGCACTGGATTCCCCTGGAACTAGAGTTATAGAGGTTGTTAGCCACCATGTGAGCGCTGGGGATTGAACCCAGGTCCTCTGCAAAAGCAATCAGTGCTCTTAACCCCTGAGCTATCTCTCTAGCCCCTAAAATTTATTTTTATTTTATGTATATGAGTGCTTTGCCTGCATGTATGTAAAGTGTACCACATGCCTTCAGTGCCCATGGAGGACAGAAGAGGGTGTCAGATCTCCTGAAACTAGAGTGACAGACGGTTATTAGCTGCCGTGTGGGTGCTGGGAATTCAACCTAGGTCCTCTAGAAAAGCAGCCAGTGCTCTTAACACTGAACCATCCCTCCAGCCCCAGACTTGTACTGTGTGTTATTAATGAGTGTATATTGAGGATAAAGCCACGTCATTCCTCCCACCCTCATTGTTACACCTGTGACTTGTCTATTTTAAATGTTTTATTACTGTGTATGTATGTATGTGTACATATGTGTATGGCACATGCACTCCGTAGCATATGTGTGGAGGCCAGAGGACAACTTGTAGAAGTTGGTTTTTTCTTGTACCACGTGGTTCTGGAAACTGAACTCGGGTCACCAAGTTTGGCAGCAAGTACCTTTACCCGCAAAGCCATCGTGCTAACTTGTGGCTGGTATACTTTAGCGTTCTTATTACCTCAGTGAGTCCTAAGAAGAGCTCTCATACCAAGCCTGACTCTAGCTGTCTCGTTTTCCTGCTGTCTACTTCAGTACACACGGATTGCCATTTTTAACAGCTTCACATTCCTCCACTAGGAAACAATTGCTTCAGGCTTCAGTCTCTCTTGCTGGTGGCGGTAATAGTTGTGGTTGAAGTTTCCATTGTAAACTGTGCTTTTACTTCATGGTGCCATTAAAGAACCCTTAGCTCATTGCTGAGGGGGAGAGAGGTTTGACAGAGATTACTCAACCCACAGCTGCCTGGGGATTTGGGAATTTGTCAGTTACCCGAAAACCAAACTACAATTCTGATTCCAGTGGGAATTTAGAAGATATTAAAGCAATCTTATCTCTTTCTGAACATACCTGTTCTAATACTTCGGTCTCTGTGTTCTGCCCATACTTTTCCCTTTGGTAAATATGCCAGGCTCTATCTATCTACTCTCTCTCTCTTTCTTTCTTTCTTTCTTTCTTTCTTTCTTTCTTTCTTTCTTTCTTTCTTTCTAAATAGGGTCTTCCTGTAGCCCTAGCTGGTCTGGAACTTGCTATGTAGACCAGGCTGGCTTCAGTCTCACAGAGATCTGCTTAACTTTGTCTGCTGGGATTAAAGGCAGGTGCCACCATGCCCAGCTCAGAGTCCTTCTCTTAAAAAACATAAATCATGGGCTAGAGAGATGGCTCAGCAGTTAAGAGGCCCTTCCTGCTCTTCCAGAGGACCCAAGTGTTGTTCTCAGCATCTATGTCTGGTAGCTTACAACTCGTTGTAACTCCAGCTCTAAGGGGCTAGACACTTGCTTCTGGCCTCTATGGGCACCCACACACTTTCTCTCTCTCTCTCTCTCTCTCTCTCTCTCTCTCTCTCTTTCTCCCCCTTTAGAAAGAAAAAGAAAACAGAAGTCATTTCCCACCCATCACGTCTCCCATCTGAGTTTCCTCTGCTTCTTCCCCACTCTGTTGTAAGGCCAAAAAGGAATATCCTTGTCTGTTGCCCCTCCCACCTCTCACAAACTAACTTTTCAAACTGCTTCCTCACAGGACACTATTAGGAAAGCAGCAGTGTGTTACTTATTTAACACACGGCAGGTACCACACTGATACTTAGATTTTGTGATCCTTAATTCTCACACCTGCTCAACAAAATTGGATAATCTTCATCGTACCAATGTCCAAGCTGAGGTTTAGAGGGGCTTGGAGTCTTGCCAAGGACCTGCGACTGCATTGAGGACAGATCTGAAACTTGAACTCACCTTGTTCAAATCCAGAGCCCTGACCCATTCTCCCATGCTGCCCTCTGATGATGCTAGGGTGGCTGGTTGTCTAAATCAGTGCTCATCTCACAGCGGCCTGGTCCTTCTAGCTTTACATGGAGCCTTTGGCCCTAGATGGCTCCTTCCAGAGGAAGCCCCTGCCCCCAGACTTGATTCTAGTCAGATCCCTGACTCCAGTCTCTTCCTCCCTTGGCCTCTAAACTATCTCCTAATGTCCTGGTTTGGTTTCCATTGCTGTGATAGAACACTGACTAAAACCCAACTTGGAGGGGAAAGGGTTTATTTCATCTTACTCTTCCAAGTGACTTCCATCCAAGTCCATCACTGAGGGATGCCAAGGCAGGAACTTAAGCAGGGCAGGAACCTGCAGGCAGGAGCTGATGCACAGACTTGGAGGATGCTGCTTACTGGGTGCCCCCGTCTTGCGCAACCACTTCTTATACACAGCTCAGGCTCACCGTCCTAGGGACGGTGCCACTCACAGTGGGCTGGGCCCTCCTACATCATTTGGTAGTTAAGAAAATGCCTCACAGATATGGCCACAGGCAGTTCAGATGGAAGCAATTCCGCAACTGAGGTTCCCTCTTCCTAGGTATATCAGGTTGAAAACTAAAGCTTAACTCGGCCATCCAACTAGCATAGGACTTTTAGCTCTTTGTTTCCTGGAGCAGAGGTTCTTAACTTGGGGTGAGTACAAAGGAAGGGAATCCTTCCAGTTATCTGAGAAACTCATCAATGTTTGGAGTTCAGGCTCTAGAAATGACAACTTAGTGGCTCTGGAAGTGACCCAGGTATGTTTAGTTTTCAAAGATTTGAGGGTGACTGTGCCGTCTCTAGCTGAGGAGTAGGCCAGCCTTCTCTGCATTAGAATTACTCCTTAGATATGCCTGTTGGCCTCCAGCTTAGCCACCATTTCCTTCTGTGTCCGGCAGGGCCCCTCTGCTCCAGCTTACAGTGCATGCCGTGCCCTGCAGGCTGCCACGGCTTTGCCAGTGTGCACTCTGCAGTGTTCTCCAACCCATCTGTCCCAGTCCTCTCATGCTCCAGGACAAGCCCAACCCTGCTTCCCTCTTTTGGAAGCCTTGCTGCTTTCTTCTTTGAACCTCTGATGATAGAGAACATCCCATAGGAAGAGCCATGGTCATCCTCAAACTGGTTTGTGTGGGACTCTTCAGTAAACGCATGTAAGCCACGGGGCGGGGGGTGGTGGTGGTGGTGGTGGTGGTGGAGAGGAAATCCTAAATGAACTTGGAAAGGTATGTAATTTGAAGTCAGGAGGGCCTGAATGCTACTTACTGATTCAATGACCTCTGTCAGGATGAACCACATCTTCTCCACTGAGGTACTGGGAATATGCAAACCCATGTCTTGAGGCTTTTGTAACAAGTATGTTTTACCCTCTGAGCTATCTCACCACCCCAAGGTTGTGAGAGTTAAAGACCCTGTAAACCATTCTGCAGTGTCATGTCCTAATGGCTACTCCATGGCCTGTCGTTGTCACCTACCTTAGCAGCTGTGGAACAGAGAGAGAGAGAGAGAGGTGGCTCTTTTTTTCCCTCAGCTATAACTAAAGGAAACAACTTTGCTTATTCAATTCATTGGCTTGTCAGATGGAGGCAGAAGAAGCAGCTGCTAAGACATCGGAAGTGAACCTGGCAAGCCTACCTCTCAGCTACCACAACGAGACCAACACAGATACCAAGGTTGGGAATAACACCATCCACATGCACCGAGAAATTCACAAGGTAAGGGCAGGTTCAGCACTGTTTCCTTTCTGCAGGGCAGTCCTGTTGAGAATAAAGTCCTGTTGGCATGTGTGATATAAAACCACAAAGGTAAATAAAAGTGACAGAATGCAGGCTAAAAACCAGAGGGAGTGAGGGTCCTGTTCAGGGGGGAAGTGTGTATCAGGGACTAAATTGCTTTTGCATTTATTAAGCAGTGTATGAGACTTCTTGATAGCCTAGAAGGAAGATCACATCTCTTAGGGTTTTTCTTGTTGTTCTTTGTTTGTTTTTAATTTTTTTATTATCCTAATAGACTTTATTTTTTGAAGGATTGTTAAATGTGTTTCTGGGTGTATGTACATGTGAATGCAGTGCCTTTGGAGGCCAGAAGAGGCCATCAGAGCCTCTGGAACTGGAGTTACAGGCAGTTGTGAACTACCCAGGGTGCTGGGTACCAAACCTAGGTCCTTTGCAAGAGCAGTATGTGCTTTTAACCACGGAGCCATCTCTCCAGCTCCATCTCTTAAGTTTTTATGTGTGTCACTGTCAGGGTTGAACTAGAGACCAGTTAAGGTGAGTGGGGGGTCTTCTTGATTTTCTTAGGAGCAACCCTAATTTAAGAAGATAAACCCTCTTTTGCCACGATATTAAACAAATGTATTCATTTGCTGGTTGTCCATCCAAAATTTGATAGTATGTTTTCTCCCCAATCTGTCACAGTGTGACTTGGTTCATTATGTTACCTAGGAGCAAGCAGCTTCATTTCCCATCTGACCCAATGAAGTATTGACAGTCTAGAAGGGCATAACATTAGCCTGCCCCTGGTGTGAGGTGCCTCCAGTGTAATTTGGCAGAACTTAGAGAGCCAACTGTGCCAGCCTGTGTTCTCTTGAAGAGCTAGCCAAGCCGACATTCATGGTCGCTGTTAGAGGCCATAGTGTTGCTATTCTGTTCTGAGTGTCAAGGAACTTGACCTCTAATCTCATCTCAACTCTATGTGCAAGGTCGAAATGGTTCATGCCTAAGATCCTCCCGTCATGCAAATGCCCAGATAACGACTTGGTTGAAACAACAGTGTTTCTTCCCCATAGAGCATAAAACATCAGTTTTATGGGTCATGGCCTTGAGTATAAAGTAACAATTCTTCCCTTGTGTAGTGATGGGCCCAGCTGGATGGATGAATTAGTGTGTCCCTAGGTGAATGAAAGAGCTCCTCAGAATTTGTGGGTAGTACTCATCCAAAGACTGAAGAATGTTCCTGAAAATGATTATTTAATTCTTGTGAAACCAATATTAAGTTATTCATCCTGACAGTAGTTAGCCGACAGGTTCTATTGCATCTTAAGGTTGCTCTTTGCAAATGTCAGAAACCTCTGAGTCCTACTAGTAACTAAAGTGACTCTGAAAAAGTATTACCTTTCCCAATACTCCCCAAAGCATTATAAAACAGGAATATCAACATTCGCCTTACAGAATTGTGAGACCCAAATGGCCTGACCTAGGACATGAAGCTCTTTATAAATTGTAAAGTTCTGTGTGAAAGCAAGTCATTTTTATGATTCATGTCATTACAGCGAAGTTTGGGACTGGGGATAGAGCTCAGTTGGTAGAGTGCTTGCCTTGCATGCAGAAAACCCTGGGTTCTATCTCTAGCACCACATAAAAATGGACACAGTGGCACAGGCCTGTAATCCCCAGCACTTGGGAGGTGGAGGAAGGAGGATCAGAAGTTCAGGATCATCCTTGGCTACATAGTGAGTTTGAGGCCAGCCTGGGATACACGAGACCCTGTCTTAGAAGCAAAACAAAGAAACAACAGCAAAAGGCAAAGTTGTTCCCCACACAATGTATAGTTCTCAAGGCAGGTCTGTGGATCCCAATCCTGTAAGGTGATGCATTAAAGAGGCACTCGGTGGTGGTGAGAGATACCTGGAAAATACTGTATCGATGCTTCTCCTAAAGGACAAAAAATGTATGTTGGTATAATAAAGGCACTGAGAGGGTCTTCAGCTCTTACACACAGGACCACAGAATTTTTTTAAATCCCACATTGGCATCCAGTTATAATTCCCAGCACCCACATGGTGGCTAACAAGCATCCATGACTCCAGTTCCAGGGAGAATTTGACTCTCTCTTCTGACCTCCATGGGCATTGCACAACATGGGTACACTTACATACATTCAAGCAAAACACTCATATACATAAAATAAAAAATAATACATGAAATATTTTAAGAAAAATCACAAAAAAATCAATTTTACAAATCTGACATTTGTACAAAATCTAGCATGGAGAAAAAAGACACCATTACTTTTTGGGGGAGAGGAAATATTTAGGTTAAAAATTAAAAACCATGAATCAGATTTGGTAACTCACACCTGAAATCCCAGCACTGGAGAAATGGAGGCAGGAGGAGCAGGAGTTCAAAGCCAGCCTGGGCTACTTGTGACCCTTAATGGGGGGGGGGGCAAGCAAAGCAAGTGATGGAAACAGACCCTTTTTCCTCTGAGCTAGAAGCTAGAAGTTGGCCCCTTTTTGCTCACTAGGCTGTTTTCTGTTCTCCTGACCACAGACTCAAGATTTTGGAGCTGGCACAGACTTTAAAGATGACGTCAAATGAGAAAACTGAATCAGGGAAGAGAAATGACTAGATGGCTGTTAGCAGCGGAGCCAGGGCTCAGAGACCACGGCTGGCTGCTGTGCAGCCAGACCCATCTTTAGCCCTGGTGGTAAAGGAAGCAGGAGTGCCCTGGACTCTTTGCTGAGTGTGGTTTGAGGTGCCTGCTCTAGGGGACAGAATCAGACAGATGACAGGCAGGCATGTGACCAGGTCTCTGTTGTTCTTCACACTGTTTTAAAAAATACTTTATAGTTGGGCATAGTGGCTCATGCCTTTAATCCCAGCACTTGGGAGGCAGAGGCAGGTGGATCTCTGTGAATTCAAGACCAGCCTGGTCTACATAGGGAGTTCCAGACCAGCTGGGGCTACAAGGAGACCCTGTCTCAAAAAGACCAAAAAAACCCAAAAAAACTTTATTACTTGATTTTATGTGTATAAGTGTATGATGCAATGCTCATAGAGATCAGAAGAGGGTGTCAGATTCCCTAGAACTGGAGTTATAGACAGCCATTAGCTGCCATGTAGGTGCTGGGAATTGAGCCTGGGTCCTCTGTAAGAGCAGCCAGTGCTCTTAACCACTGAGCCATCTCTCCAGCCCTCTCTTCACACTATCTTGGTGAGATGATTAGCTCTCTAGAACCAGAAGTAAGGCTCTGTGGCCAGAATCCACTTGCCCCTCACAGAATCATTTGTTTGACTAGACACACAAACTGGAATTTTTATTTTTGAGACAGAGCCTCATGTAGCCCAGGCTGGTCTCCAATTTACCACGTACTCAAGGATGACCTTGAACTCCTCAACCTCCTGCCTCTATCTCCCAAGTGCTGGGATTACAGTCCTGCATCATCATGCTGTGTCAGATTGGAATTTTGTCAAAAAGGATCTTGCCGCTGAGTGCCAAGTGATGAGTCCAAGAATGGTAAAAAATAGCTGGTGTTGTTGAGCCGTTGCTAGGTGTCAGGGACCCTCTTCCTGCTGTCAACTGTCACGTTGTTCCTTCTGCATAGTGACTCTGTGAGGTGGAATCTGTGATTATCTCCAGGAGCGCTGTCCATTGGTAGTGCTATGGTTAGAACTCAGAAGGGCGGGCGTGGGGGGGTGGTTCCTGGAGACTCCAGCCAATGTTCTTGCACTGGAAAATGAAAAACAAACAGAAAAACAAGACAAACAAAGCCTGCGAGAATTTCCCAGAATTCCTTTGTTCATGGCACCCCTGTTTCTCTGTAGGTCACCAACAACCAGACTGGACAGATGGTCTTTTCTGAGACAGTCATCACATCTGTTGGGGCTGAAGACAGCAAAAGGAGTCACGTAAGTTACTGTTTCCCTCCTCTTACACCCTGAGGTGATGCACCTCTGTAGCCCAAATTGCAGTCAAGGGGGATGGGAACAGAGTCCCCACTCCTCTTCTGCCTCATTACTTCCGGCATGTCCTTTCCTCCATCTCTAGCTCAACCATGCAGTCTTGGGGCAGACTGTGCCTCAAAGTACCTGGGTCAGAAACAAGAGATGCTGAATCCAGGTGTGATTTGCACCTTGACTTTGAAAGGGGAACAAGTGTTAAGTATATATAAAAGCCTCTGGTGACTGACCCTGTACCTCAAGTGATGAAACACCCCGAGTCCCTAGGAGGTCCATGCTTTATGTAACCCCCCAGCTCTGGCCAGGTGGTTTGAGAGCCAGTGGCCTACAGGGGAAGAAGGCTACCTGTCATCCTGGCTTTAGGCTCTGTTCCCTATAACTGCTGCTGTAATTTGCCTGTGGCTTAACCCAAAGGTAGGCTGGATTTTGTAGGATTATAAAGCCCTAAAGTTGACAGGGATCTGATATGGCCCAGGCTAGGGAAGATCCAGTGGAGGAGACTCTGAGGCATGTGGATGTAGTCAGCAGAGACAACACACCTCCTGTGGAGGCAGTAGGACTCAGCCTCTGCCCAGACCTCCCCCACACCCCCAGCTTCCCAAGGGCACCCAGGATCTGTGCCCACTCTTTTGACCTCACTGCTGGAAGAGAGCTGGTGGATTGTTAATAGGAAGGTGGTGCTGTTTTGGTTGGCAGTCAGTACTTTTTCTCTCTCTTTTTGCTTGTCTTGGCTTGGTACTCAAGTGTGGGGAGCTAACCAACATTTACTACAGTCTGGAGGCCCTGTCAGCTGTGTTACAATGGTGACCCACCTTTCAAGGGGGCCTAGTGGGAGGTGGAGGGAGTCTTGCTGTGAACCAGAAGGACCTGGCCACGGAGCATGAGCTTACCACCTCCCTACAAGCTGGGGTCTCTTGATTTCCTCATTCTTGTTGTCATCATCATCATCCTCTTCTCCCCCTTCCTCCTCCTCCTCCTTTTTCTCCTCTTTCTTCTTCTTCTTTTGCTATTATTATTGTTATTGGTGTGTGTGTGTGTGTGTGTGTGTGTGTGTGTGTGTCTTGTGTGGATAGGTGTATGTGGAGGCCAGAGGTTTTGGATCCCCCTGGAACTGGAGTTACAAGTGGGTGTGAGCCACCTAATGTGGGTGCTGGGAACCAAAATCAGATCCTTGGCAAAGAGCAGCTAGTGTTCTTAGCCGCTGAGCCATCTTCTCAGCCCCAGGTTCCTCATTTTCAAGTAAGGTCACAATCTGCATTGTGTCTTCACCCAGAAAGCACAGAGAAGCCTGTGAATAGATAGGGGTTATGAAGGCAGGGGTCAGCTCAGCTTTCCTTTCTTTTCTAATGCTTTTGTGTATGTATGTGTATGTGTTACACATATGTGTGTAGGTATGCATGCAACATGGAAACCAGAGGACAACCTCAGGTGTCCAACCTCAGGAAGGCTGTCCATCTTCTCTGAGTCAGGGTCTCTCATCGACTTGGAGCTCACAGATTTGGCTAGACTGGCTGGCCCGTGACCCTCAGGGATCCTCCTGTCTCTGCCTCCCTAGTGTTGGGATTTCAAGCATGCACCACCACGTCTGACATCTGCATGTGGTTTCCAGGGACTGTATTCATTTCTTCATCCTTTTTGGCAAGTACTTTACTGCCTGAGCTAGTTCTTAGTCCTGGGGCTAGCTTTCTAAAGCAGGATAGGGAGAAAGAGAGAAAGGCAAACTAAAATGGGCCAGCCATGGCTAGGGCAGCCTTCCTGGAGGGAAACCCTTTGAAAATTCCTGAGTGAAGTCTGTGCTGGGGGCTGAGTGGAATGAAGTCATCTGAGGGCAACAGTAACTCAGAAAGAAACCCTTGGTTCTCAAAGATGGTTCTGCTTGGCTCTATCAGCCCTCAGGATGATGAGCAGGTGATGGAGGCCCACATGCACATGAGATGCAGGGCATCCGCAATCAAAATACAGCATATATATCCTGCACCTGCTCCAACCCTGAATGAGGCTCCTATGGAGGTTTGAGTGCTGTGGTGGGGAGTTGAGATTCTGGGAGCTGTGGGTACGTAAGACACAAGACCTGAAAGATGCCAGGAGTATGTTGGGGCCGGGAGACAGCTGCCTATACTCTTGCACTGGGTGCTGTGACTTGGTCCAGCTTTCCTGGGTATGCCTGACCTTGTGGGTTTTTATGTAACCCTGCCTTGGGCCTCAGCTTGGAAGCCCGTGTGCACATGTGTTCATCAGGTGACAGGAGACATAAAACTGGCATCCTTGTGTGGTGCATAATCTGAAACCCTCTGTACAGTAGGTAGCCCCAAGACAACAGCAGGCTGGAGGGGAATGAATGACATATCCAAGCCCAGGAGAGGGAGGTTCATCATGATTTTTTCCTTGACTTTTGCCTAGGTCCTGGAAAGCTGAACTTACTGTTTCTCTGTGAGAATAAATGTCTGTTTGCAGGGCTAGAAGGGAAACCTGAGGATCAGGTGGTCCACTGGCCAGAGCTTATCCTTCCTGTCCTTTATCAGTCTCATAGGGCTTCTGACAGCAAACTGGAGGCTTTTCAAGCTGCCTATGAGGGGATGACATGTGACAGATGATATGTCTATTTCACTGCAGAGTCTGGCTAGTGTCACGGTGACCAAGAGTCAGAGAAGCAAGATGTGGTTCCCAGTGCACACAGCACTGTTCATTCAACTACCCTTCTGTCCTGGGCTCACCACTGTCCTAACATTAAGCCAGGTCCTGCTGTCATTATTACATTTATTTACTTAGCCTGCATGTGTGTGTGTATCACAGTATGCATGTGCAGGTCAGAGAACAACTTGTGGGAGTCAGGTCTCTCCACATGTAGGCCCTGGAGATAGAACTTGGGTCATCATCAGGCTTGGTGGTAAATACCTTTACCTACTGAGCCATCTTGTGTGCCCCCGACTTTTAAATTTAAATTTTATTTATTTACTTATATTTTATGTGGATGAGTGTTTTGCTGCATGATGTGTATGAAATGCCCATGGAACCTAGATGAAAATGTTAGATCCCCTGGAACTGGAGTTAAAGATGGTTGTTAGCTGCCATGTGGGTACTGGGAACTGAACTGAGGTCCTCTGCAAGAGCTGCCCGTACTCTTAACCACTGAGCCATCTCTGTTTCCCCATAGTGAGACAAGGTTTCACTATGAAACCCTGGCTGACCTGGAACCTGCTGTGTAGAACAGGCTGGCCTTGAACAGTGATCCTCCTGCCTCTGCCCCCAAGTGCTGGGATTACAGGTGTGGGCCACCATATCTGGCTCTCAAGTGCTGTCTTTACAGAAGGGTGGAACTCCTATTTCAGAGCAGGAAGCTATGAGGGCTAGTGTGTGTCACCACCCTCTTGTTCCATAGTTCTGTAGTTTAACTGTTTTCACAGTTGGCTCTGAGTTATACTTTACAGAAACTATCCTTAAAGGAACAGATGTCCCATTCCAAAAGGCAAAAATCATAACCTGTTCAAATCTTTGTACACCATTAACAGGGGCTAAATTTTCTGGATTTGAGATTCTCAGATGAATTCAATTAAAAACAATCACCCAACATACCATATTTTCCTTTCTTTAAATGTGGTGTGCATACTAATATGTATGGTAACCTGAGGAGACTCATGGAAAGTTCCAGACAGTAACACTATATGCCTGTCTAGAAATTTCACAGTCTAAGCAAGACACTGGTCTGTTTTTACACTCAAATATGAGGTGGGGGGAAGCACCCTGTGGCATGTAATTTCACCTGAGTGCTTGGCTGATGGTGATAGGGACTGACGTCCTTGCAAGGGGCTTTTGTGCTGAGCCAGGTCTCTTCACGGGTCAGAGGGCGGGCTGACCATTGTGCTTCTGTTGCGTGGGGCGGAAGGTCATTAGAAGGGAAAGTGGCAGTTGGAAGCTGGAGAGTGGACAAGCCATTATGCATGAGTACGAAGCTTTTCTTTGTAGAAAAACAGCCAAGTGGTGGTTAGTTAGCCCAGCCACCATTTTGAAAGGCTGTGGTCTCTAATTAAAATGCAGCCTGCAGCTACACAGCCTAGCATGTCTGTCTTTGTTGCTTTTCAGTTCTACTTTCTGAAGTGATATAACAGTGAGTCTGTTTGTTTTTCTACCCAAACACACCTAGTTCAAAGCTACAGGTTCACTCATGTCTAGTGAACTCTGAGACACTTGTCTCTATTTTTGAGGCCATGGGTAAATGGATTTCCTCACCAAAACCATCCAGGCAGTAGATATTGGAATGACCCAGGAACTTCCTTGTTCCTGAGAGTGGCCAGTGCTGACTTTGTCTTTTTGGCTGAAGGATGAAGGTGGTGCCCTTGTTTTCTGTGGCTGTGGAACCAGGGCCTTTCCTGTTAGGAGGCTACCATGCCTGCTGCTGGTGCTGGATCCCAGGGGAAGTGAGATGCTGAACCCTGAAGAGCTTTTGGAAAGTGTTTTGTTTGCTTCTCTTGGGACAGTGAGGGAGACAAGGGACCAGAATGGAGTGGGAGGGGAAAGTGTCAAGTGATATGCTTCTTGCTGGGGCCTTGGTTCACCCCTACCCCTTACATGGTCATTCATCACAGGGGAAAGGCCGTGGGTGTGGCTTCCTCCACACCCTGATTTCTGCTGCCACTTCAAGTTAATGGAAGGCTAGTGCCACCAAAATGCCAGTCTCTGGATTTAGTCTGTGTGTGTGTATGTGTGGGTGTGTAAAATATGCATGTGTATCCATGTTCCTGTGTGTGCAAGGGCATGTGGAAGCCAGAGGTCAACCTTGGGTGTCGTTCTTCAGGTATTTTCCATATTGTTTATTGAGGGTCTCTCAGTGGCTTGGAACTCACTTGCTGGCCAGCAAACCCCAGGGATCCATCCATCTGTGCCGGGATTCATAAGTTCGCACTTTAATGCCTCGTTTTTTTACATAGCTACTGGGGATCAAACTCAGGTCC